TTTCTCATTTTATACAAACACAGATTATACAATTGATCTTTTGTATATGTATACCGAAACAGAAATAGATTATATACAACTGCTTTCTTTTGTATATGTATAGCGAAATATACATATTTATGTTTGCTATGGAGCGCAATTATGCAAACTATAGATATAACATACAAATATAATTTTTGTGTTTGCTATATGTGAAAGTTGCTCAAGAAAAATTGTATCGGGCAGGATAATTAAAATAAGTAGTTAAGAATTAAAAGCTTGTACTTTTGATTTGAATCAGTGAATTTAGTGAGCCCATGTACTAAAACTATTTTTTATTTAATTTTGTTTGGTGTTGTCTCCATATAATTTGTACTAATGTATAACATGTCTTAAATGGTAAGGTTTAAGGATCGAGCAAACGTACCAAGATGAGTCAAATTTATTAAAGTACGTATTTAATATCATCTTAAAATATTGAATCGAACTCACGAGCTCACTGTAGATTCATGTTCAATTAATATCTACTACAGGAAAAAAAAAAGTTTAAAACACCTCTAACATAATATATCAAAAATAGCTTAAATTTGTTTTCCTAGACCTTATAGTTTCCCAGCCTTTCTCCGCCTACATGCCCCCGAAATCAGATTGGCTTTTTTCTTGAGGAAGGTCCATCCGCTTTTGTTTTCGAATAAGACTAAGGCGGAGCGAGGGTCTCTTTGTGGTGGTCTTTCACCATCTTCCTTTCACCTATTAAACTCCAATTTTCGAGTAAAAAATATAATTTCTTTCTAACATATTATGGATCATCATTTTTATTACTGTTAAATTTTTTTTGTTAAAAATATCAATTTTAAAAAAAATATGAAATGACATATGTGAGACGTTAGTTTATAAGTGACACTCATTTGCCTAAGTATAATAACTCAATCTATCAGAGCAATTTCCTGGGGAAAGGGGCAGAACCATCCCCACCTTATCAAGACAATTTGGTACCTGTTTTCAAACCCATCTTTCGTTGAAAAA